CGAGGGGAAGGGAGGAGGGGAAGGGAAGGGAGGGGGGAAAGAGGAGGGGAAGCGCCTTGTTTGCTCGGATGACATCGCATAAGTGACCACTTGAATGGCACTAAGTCGAAAATTGGATAAACTATGGTGCTTTCTTGCACGGGATTTAGGCATTGTGCGGGCCTTGCAAACCTCTCTAATCCCTCCTTTTGGGGGGAAAAAAAGACAAAGCTCTGTGTCCAGCATGGAAAAAAATGTACCCGCTCAAAAAAATAAGCAGCAGACGTGATTATAAAAGGGGAGGGGGGAGAGAATAGGTCTTAGAGAAGCTAAATGCTGAATGGGAGGTTGGAACATAAGGAGAAGCCTGGTTAAAAAGGCGAGGAGGGATGGGGTGGGGGGAGATATATATATATACAGAAATGGAGGAAATTACCGGGTGAATTTCAATGCAGAAAGTCAGGACTGAGTGAGATCCGGCTTAGTTTATTTTGGTCTAGATGGCATGCAAAAGGAGAGCAACAGAAGCACCTTTCCCTTGTTAAAAGCTGTGGATGTATCTACACTGCAGCTGAACTATAGTTTGGACTGCTTAGATGGTTAGTGTAAACCCATATCATGGGCCCACAGTGACTATATCGCCTGAGGGCTGAGAAGGGCGATATACAAACATAGTAAAATATAAATATAAATATAAATATAAATATAAATATAAATATAAATATAAATATAAATATAAATATAAATATAAATATAAATATAAATATAAATATAAATATAAATATAAATATAAATATAAATATAAATATAAATATAAATATAAATATAAATATAAATCATGCAGTTCAAGTTTGCATTACATGGTGAGTGCAATATAATGCATGCTACACATATATACATGCACATATAAGGCAATATAACGCATATCACACACATAATGCACTTTGAACTGTGCTGAACTGTAATATCTACAAGATCTGTAAGGGTCTACACTGTCTATATAATGCAGTTCAAGTTTGCATTACACGATGAGTGTAATATAATGCATGTTACACATATATTCATGCACATATAAAGTAATATAACACATAATGCACTTTGAACTGCGCTGAACTGTAAGATCTACAAGATCTGTAAGCGTCTACACTGTCTATATAATGCAGTTCAAGTTTGCATTACATGGTGAGTGTGATATAACACATATTACACACATATAATACACTTTGAACTGCACTGAACTGTATGATATGCGTCCACACTGACTATATAATGCTGTTCAAGTGTGCATTATATGGTTGGTGTAAATTAAGCATGTTACACATCTATACATACACATAAGTGATATAGCACAGTCTGAACTGCTAGATATGGGTCTACACTGTCTATATAATGCTGCTCAAGTTTGCATTACATGGTGAGTGTAATATAACACACATTACACACATATAATACACTTTGAACTGCACTGAACTGTATGATATGGGTCCACACTGACTATGTAATGCTGTTCAAGTGTGCATTATATGGTTAGTGTAAATTAACGCATGTTACATATCTATACATACACATATAAAGTGATACAGCACAGTTTGAACTGCAAGATATGGGTCTACACTGGCTACATAACGCAGTTCAAGTTTGCATTATGTAGTGAGTGTGATATAATGCACAGTGCACATATATACATACACATATAATGCATATGACCCATATAATGCAGTTTGAACTTCATTGAACTGCAAGTATTTATCAGGATAGGGTCAAGGCAGGCCTATATTCAGATTCCAAGACTGGATTGCCCATGAGTTCTCTTTCAACTCTATTCTTTGCTTCTATCATTCAGTTCAGACCATCATTGGGCAGTGTGTAGACCAAGGCCCCAAATACACTACCAACCGTGTGGTCTCTTCCAACCCTATTATTCTATGATTCTATAGTTCAGACTGCATCATTGGGCAGTGTGTACACCAAGGCCAATTCTACACTGCCAAATGCAGGATAGAGACAAAGCAGACCTATATTATGATTCTATAGTTCAGTTCAGTGCATTATTGGGCAGTATACACCAAGGCCCCATCTATAGTGGAAACTGCAATATAGTCTCTTCCAACCCTATTATTCTTTGCTTCTATAGTTCAGTTCAGACTGCATCATTGGGCAGTGTGTACACTAAAGCCAATTCTACGCTGCCAACTGCATAAAATTGTTATATACGGTCAAAGCAGACCTATATTATGATTCTATAGTTCAGTTCAGACTGCATGATTGGGTAGTGTGTAGACTAAGACCACAATGACACTGTCAGCTTCAGGATAAGGTCAATGGGCTGGCTGTGTGGTCTCTTCCAACTCTATTATTTTCTGATTCTATAGTTCAGTTCAGACTGCATGATTGGGTAGTGTGTAGACCAAAGTCACAACTACACTGACTACTGCAGGATAGGGTCAACGCTGGGCTGGACTGGGCTGGCCGTGTGGTGTCTCCCATCTCTATTATTCTCTGATTCTATAATTCAGTTCAGACTGCATGATTGGGCATTGGGTAGACCAAGGCCACATCCACACTGCCAACTACAGGAAATGGTCAACACAGACCTATATTCAGACTCAATGACTGGATGGCCTTATTATTCTCTGATTCTATAGTTCAGTTCAGATTGCATGATTGAGTAGTGTGTAGACCAAGGCCACATCTACAGTGTCAACTTCAGGATATGGTCAATGGGCTGGACATGTGGTCTCTTCCAACTCTATTATTATTTTCTGATCCTCTGATTCAATACTTCATTTCAGACTGCATGATTGGGCATTGGGTAGACCAAGGCCACATCCACGCTACCAACTACAGGAAATGGTCAACACAGATCTATATTCAGACTCAATGACTTGATGGCCCATGTGGTATCTTCCATCTCTCATTATTCTCTTATTCTATAGCTCAGTTCAGATTGCATGATTAGATAGTAGACCACAACTACACTGACGACTGTAGGATAGGGTCAACGCTGGGCTGGCTGTGTGGTCTCTTCCAACTCTATTATTCTCTGATTCTATAGTTCAGACTGCATGATTGGGTAGTGTGTAGACCAAGGCCACATCTACGCTGTCATCTTCAGGATATGGTCAATGGGCTGACCATGTGGTCTCTTCCATCTCTCATTATTATCTTATTCTCTAGTTCAGTTCAGACTGCATGATTGGGTAGTGTGTAGACCAAGACCACAACTACATTGACGACTGCAGGATAGGGTCAAGGCTAGGCTGGCCGTGTGGTCTCTTCCAACACTTATTATTCTCTGATTCTCTAGTTCAGTTCAGACTGCATGATTGGGTAGTGTGTAGACCAAGACCACAACTACACTGACAACTGCAGGATAGGGTCAACGCTGGGCTGGCAGTGTGGTCTCTTCCAACTCTATTATTCTCTGATTCTATAGTTCAATTCAGACTGCATGATTGGGTAGTGTGTAGACCAAGACCACAACTACACTGACAACTGCAGGATAGGGTCAATGGGCTCACCATGTGGTCTCTTCCATCTCTCATTATTATCTTATTCTCTAGTTCAGTTCAGACTGCATGATTGGGTAGTGTGTAGACCAAAGCCACAACTACACTGAGGACTGCAGGATAGGGTCAAGGCTAGACTGGCCATGTAGTCTCTTCCAACTCTTACTATTCTCTGATTCTATAGTTCAATTCAGACTGCATGATTAGGCAGTGTGTAGACCAAGACTGGATGACAAATGGCTGGATGGCCATTTGTCAGGGGTGATTTGAATGCAATATTCCTGCTACTTGGCAGGGGGTTGGACTGGATGGCCCATGAGGTCTCTTCCAACTCTTTGATTCTATGATTCTATTATTCTAAGACCACAACTACACTGACAACTGCAGGATAGGGTCAACGCTGGGCTGGCCATGTGGTCTCTTCCAACTCTATTATTCTGCATGATAGGGCATTGGGTAGACCAAGGCCACATCTACGCTGTCATCTTCAGGATATGGTCAATGGGCTGACCATGTGGTCTCTTCCATCTCTCATTATTCTCTTATTCTATAGCTCAGTTCAGACTGCATGATTGGGTAGTGTGTAGACCAAGACCACAACTACACTGACAACTGCAGGATAGGGTCAACGCTGGGCTGGCAGTGTGGTCTCTTCCAACTCTATTATTCTCTGATTCTATAGTTCAATTCAGACTGCATGATTGGGTAGTGTGTAGACCAAGACCACAACTACACTGACAACTGCAGGATAGGGTCAACGCTGGGCTGGCAGTGTGGTCTCTTCCAACTCTATTATTCTGCATGATAGGGCATTGGGTAGACCAAGGCCACATCTACGCTGTCATCTTCAGGATATGGTCAATGGGCTGACCATGTGGTCTCTTCATCTCTCATTATTCTCTTATTCTATAGCTCAGTTCAGACTGCATGATTGGGTAGTGTGTAGACCAAGACCACAACTACACTGACAACTGCAGGATAGGGTCAACGCTGGGCTGGCCATGTGGTCTCTTCCAACTCTTACTATTCTCTGATTCTCTACTTCAGTTCAGACTGCATTATTGGACATTGGGAAAACCAAGGCCACAACTACACTGAGAACTTCTGGATAGGGTCAACGCAGACCTATATATTCAGACTCCGTGATGTGGGTCTGCATACTGCTGTCCTAGGGGTGTTACTGGACTCATCCAGTGTAGACCCTCGCTCAAAGCCCGGTTGGAAAACACGGGGAGGCGTCTTCCTCGCCCATAAAAGGGAGCTGAATGCAGTGAGTGGCGTGACACCGTCTGCAATCTGTGGCAGGATAGATTTGGGTCTGAAGTGAGCAGAAGGAGAAGGGACAGAAACAAAACGGAGGGAGTTGGGGCGGGGGTGGGAGTGGTGTGATAGACAGGAGGGAGCTGAAAACCGAGACACAAGGGAAACCGAAAGGAAGCCTCTCTTCTTCTCCCTAAATATAGGTCTGTGTTTGGTGGGCAAAGGGAGACGGCGGGGCGTTGCTTAGCTTACCTGCAGCTCGTCTGCTCCGGAGGCGGCCAGTCCGAGGCTGGTGCCGGGGAGGAGGCGCTGGTCGGGATGCATGCCATACTGGGAGCCGTGGCTCATGAGCGAGAGGTCGTGTCGGCGGTAGGCGTCGAGGCAGCCCAGCTCGCGCCGGGGCGGCGGCTCGTCGAGGCACGAGGACTTGAGGGCGCGCGCGTTGTGCAGGTTGAGGAAGTCCCCGGGCTCGCCATGGTGCAGCTGCTGGTAGTACTGCTGCGAGTGGTGGAGCGAGTTGAGCGAGTAGGCGTCCGGGGCCACGGCCGGGTGCCCGTGCTGGAACTCGTAGTGGAAGGACTGGTGGTGCAGCGGCGTGTACTGGTGCGGGTTGGCCGAGAAGTAGGGCGAGGCGAAGTCCGTGCCCGTGGCCGAGTAAGTCAGCGGCGAGGTGGACGAGTAGGCGACGGTGGAGTTGGCCACGGACTCCAGGCAGCCCAGCTGCATCAAGCGGTAGCTGTTGGAGCCGTCATGGCGGATCTGGAAGGCAGAAGCAGGGAGCAGGTCACCCGGGAGGAGCAGCCAGCGGGGCATCCGCACCAGAGGGGTGCCCACGGATCACTAAAGTCACCAAAAAGCCCCCACATACACACAGGGAGAGCCCCCACCCCCACCCAACACTGCTTGATTCTCCTTACCTAAACCTATAAGTAAACATCATCATCATGATGTAGTTGGAACTGCATGATATACTTAATGCTATGTAACAATACCGACGGCTTTCACGGCCGAAATGAATGGTTTGCTGTGAGTTTTTTGTGCTGTATTGCCATGTTTTACAGCCCGAAAAACTCACAGCAACTCAAGATCAATGTCATTGCCTAATTGGTTCTAAAACACAATCTCGACGGCTTTCATGGCCGAAATGAATGGGTTGCTGTGAGTTTTTTGTGCTGTATTGCCATGTTTTACAGCCCGAAAAACTCACAGCAACTCAAGATCAAATGTCATTGCCTAATTGGTTCTAAAACACAATCTCGACGGCTTTCATGGCCGGGATGACTGGGTTGCTGTGAGTTTTTTGTGCTGTATTGCCAGGTTTTACAGCCCGAAAAACTCACAGCAACTCAAGATCAATGTTATTGCCTAATTGGTTCTAAAATACAATCTCGACGGCTTTCATGGCCGGGATGACTGGGTTGCTGTGAGTTTTTTGTGCTGTATTGCCATGTTTTACAGCCCGAAAAACTCACAGCAACTCAAGATCAATGTCATTGCCTAATTGGTTCTAAAATACAATCTCGACGGCTTTCATGGCCGAAATGAATGGGTTGCTGTGAGTTTTTTGGCCTGTATTGCCAAATTTTACAGCCTGAAAAACGCACAGCAACTCAAGATCAAATGTCATTGCCTAACTGGTTCTAAAACACAATCTCGACGGCTTTCATGGCCGAAATGAATGGATTGCTGTGAGTTTTTTTGGGCTGGATGTCTGAGCCGTACAGCCGAAAAACTCACAGCAACCCAAGATCAATGTCGTTGCCTAATTGGTTTTATCATAGTAAATTAAAAAAAAAACATAGGGCAAAGTTTATCAAACTGCCAAAGCTTTTCAAGGCATATCTTCATCCGATCTCGGCCGATTCGGCATTGTTTAGGGCGGCCACAAAAGTAAGGTCGGCACAATCAACCATTTCGAACCAGGAACACTCCTCTCCCAATTGTGTTACATATAATCTAGTACAATCCGCGCTATAATGGGCGGTGAAGATGGGGCCATGGAGAGTCGGGGCTCTTCCATCAAACCACCCAATAATAATAAGAATAAGAATGCTTTATTTTTTAAAATAATAATAATACTTTATTTTTAAATCATAAGAATACTTTAAAATAATAACTACTTTAAAAATAATTCTACTTTATTATAAATAATACTACCACTACTTTATTTTAATAACAATAATAATAATTTTATTGTAATAATAATACTTTAAAATAATAATATATCTTTATTTTAAAATAATAAAATGCTTTATTTTTAAAATAATCATAAAATTTATTTTAAAAATAATAAGAATGCTTTATTTTTAAATAATAATACTTTAAAATAATAATAACTATTTTAAAATACTGCTACTTTATTTTTAAATAATACTGCTACTACTTTCTTTTAATGATAATAATTTTATTTTAACAATACTACTTTATTTTTTAAATAATAATACTTTTACAATAATAACTATTTTAAAATACTACTATTACTTTATTTTTAAACAATACCGCTACTTACTTTCTTTTCATAATAATACCAACTTTATTTTAATAATAATACTTTAAAACAATATTAACTATTTTAAAATTATAATATAGTATTATTATTTTTAAATAATACCGCTACTACTTTCCTTTAATAATATTTTTATTTTAATAAGAATACTTTATTTTTTAAATAATAAAAAACTTTATTTTTAAAATAATAAGAATACTTTATTTTCAAATAATAATACTTTAAAATAGTCATAACTATTTTAAAATAATAATACTACTCTATTTTTAAACAATACCGCTCCTACTTTCTTTTAATAATAACTTTAATAAGAATACTTTAAAAATAATCATAACTATTTAAAAATAATAATACTACTTTATTTTTAAACAATACCGCTCCTACTTCCTTTTAATCATATTTTTATTTTAATAAGAATACTTTATTTTAAAATAATAATACTTTAAAATAGTAATAACCATTTTAAAATAATAACACTACTTTATTTTGAAACAATACCGCTCCTACTTTCTTTTAATCATATTTTTTTATTTTAATAAGAATATTTTACTTTTAAAATAATAATAAAAAACTTTATTTTTAAAATAATAAGAATACTTTATTTTTAAATAATAATAGTAATAACTATTTTAAAATAATAATACTACTCTATTTGTAAACAATACCGCTCCTACTTTCTTTTAATCATATTTTTTATTTTAATAAGAAGACTTTATTTTAAAAATAATAAAAAGACTTTATTTTCAAATAATAATACTTTAAAATAGTAATAAGTATTTTAAAGTAATAATACTACTCTATTTTGAAACAATACCGCTCCTACTTTCTTTTAATAATAACTTTAATAATAATACTTTAAAATAATCATAATTATTTAATAATAATAATAATAATACTTTATTTTGAAACAATACCGCTCCTACTTTTTTTAATAATATTTTTATTTTAATAATAATGCTTTAGTTTTTAAATAATAATAAAAAATATTTTTAAAATAATAAAAAAACTTTATTTTAAAAATAATAAAAAACTTTATTTTAAAAATAATAAAAAACTTTATTTTTAAAATAATAAGAATACTTTATTTTTAAATAATAACACTTTAAAATAGCAATAACTATTTTAAAATAATAATACGACTCTATTTTGAAACAATACCGCTCCTACTTTCTTTTAATCATATTTTTTATTTTAATAATAATATTTTATTATTTAATATTATTTTTATAATAATAATAACACTTTATTTTTAATAATGATTATTATAATCCACGGCAAAGCCCGACCCAAGCTCTAGACGGCTTCCTGCCTGCCTACCTTCCTTGTCCGCCCCACTTGGCCCCCTTTTCCCGCCCCGAGTCGGAACCGCGGTTACGGGAACCCTCCCCTTTCCCCTCGGATGCCGTTGCCGAGAGGCTTCTCCTCCTTCTCCTCCTTCTTCTCCCCGTCGAGCAAGGCAATGGCGTCGCCCCTTTCCCGGCGACAGATGTCATAACGAATTTTCTCCCTTGCCTTCGTTGAGGTTCCTCTCTGAAGCCGGATTATAATTAAACGTAACGGTCCGAGGTGGATTAAGCACCGCAGACACACAAATAACACAAAACGGCGGAGAGGAAGGCAAGGCAACACTTCCTGGTCGAGACAAGAGACACACACCCGCCCGAAGCGCGCACCCGCATCCATCCCCATCCACACACTCACACAACACACCCTCTCTCTTTCTCTCTCTTTCTCTCTCTCTCTTTCTATCTTTTTCATACCTCCGCGTCGTGGACGAGTCCTGGAAAGGTAGTTGACATTTTGGGTTCGGCTCAAGACGAAATCCTTGCTCTCAGTTTCAAATGACCATGAGATATATAATATTAATAATAATAATATATATATTAAGAAATCCAGGCGTTTCAAGTGTTCCCCCAAATGTGAGAATAATAGGAAGGTGTTTGCAAGGCTTTGAAAGAGACCAAAAGCCTTGCCTTCCTTCTTCCTGCTTGGCTTCCTCTTCCTTCTTCCCTTCCTGCCTATAAGCCGGGCTCTCCGGCTTCTTTTTCCTCCCCTCCACGGAAAACCTGTAGGAACAATTTCCCCCTCTGCACAAAGGCAGCTCCCCGGATCCGATTTTGTACTTGCTGGGTATTTCTTTGGCTGATGTCGTAGGTCCCTTGGTAATATCGAAGTTTTGAAAATTAAGCATCAGCACTGAGAACTGGGAGGACAATAGATAGAGCAGCTTCATCCCAGGAGACAAGGAATAAATATTGTATCTTCGCCTAATAAGGAACGGGAGCTTCTTTCAACGTTTTCAGACCATTTTTTCGCCTTCCTCTCTTCTTTTCCCGGCCCTCATGGATCTCAGGTTTTGTTTTGCCTCCCCTTTATCCAAATATATACATATATTGTTGGGAAAGGGATGAAGATCTCAGACACAAAGAGATTAATTGCAAACACCTCTTTTCAAAGGGGAGAGGGCTGGCTTTTTTGGTTTTGTTTGTCAAGTTTGGCTTTTTTTCTCGGTTCTTGTAGGTTTTTTCGGACTATATGGCTATATTCTAGAGGCTTTTTTTGTTTTGTTTGCCAAGTTTGGCTTTTTTTCTCGGTTCTTGTAGGTTTTTTCGGACTCTATGGCTATATTCTAGAGGCTTTTTTTGTTTTGTTTGCCAAGTTTGGCTTTTTTTCTCGGTTCTTGTAGGTTTTTTCGGGCTATACGGCTATATTCTAGAGGCTTTTTTGTTTTGTTTGTCAACTTTGGCTTTTTTTCTCGGTTATTGTAGGTTTTTTCGGGCTATATGGCTATATTCTAGAGGCTTTTTTTGCTTTGACAAAAGTCCTTTGTCTCACCCTGGTCATTCCACAGATATATAAACCCCCTTTCCCAGTTCCAGCAGACCTCACTACCTCTGAGGATGCTTGCCACAGATGCAGGCGAAACGTCAGGAGAAATGCCTCTAGAACATGGCCATATAGCCCGAAAAAACCACAAGAACCTAGTGATTCCAGCTATGAAAGCCTTCGACAATACATTTTTGTTTTTGCTTTTTGGTTTGTTTTTGGCTTCTGAGGTTTTTTCGGGCTATATGGCTCACTACCTCTGAGGATGCTTGCCACAGATGCAGGCGAAACGTCAGGAGAAATGCCTCTAGAACATGGCCCTATAGCCCGAAAAAACCCACAAGAACCAAGTTTGGCTTTTTTTCTCAGGTTGTTGTAGGTTTTTTCGGGCTTTTTTTCTCGGTTGTTGTAGGTTTTTCGGGCTATATGGCTCACTACCTCTGAGGATGCTTGCCATAGATGCAGGCGAAACGTCAGGAGAAATGCCTCTAGAACATGGCCCTATAGCCCGAAAAAACCCACAAGAACCAAGTTTGGCTTTTTTTCTCAGGTTGTTGTAGGTTTTTTCGGGCTATATGGCTATATTCTAGAGGTTTTTTTGTTTTGTTTGTCAAGTTTGGCTTTTTTTCTCGGTTGTTGCAGGTTTTTTCGGGCTAGATGGCTATATTCTAGAGGCATTCTCTCCTGACGTTTCGCCTGCATCTATGGCAAGCATTGTGGGGTCTTTTTTTTTCTCTTTCCCCTTTCCCTTTAGTGAGCTTTCAAAACACCAGATCGAAATGAAGTCCACTTTTATTATGATTTTTACTGGGTTTTCGGTGAATCATTCGAGACACCCATCCAAGTCTCCCTGTCCATCCAAGTCTCCAGCAGACAAGAGTCCTTTGTCCCACAGATATATAAACCCTTTTTCCAAGTTCCAACAGTCCTCACAAGCTCTCAGGATGCCTGCCATAGATGTGGGCGAAACGTCAGGAGAGAATGCTTCTGGAACACACAGCCTAGTAAACTCACAGCAACCCAGCCATTAAAGCCTTCGGCAAAACAATGGGGTGTTTGTGTGTGTGACTTTTGCTTCTGGAACATGGCCACACAGCCCGGAAAACTCACAGCAACCCAATATATAATATATTATTATATTATTATACACTTGCCTCAAGCAGACAAGAATTCCTTCTCCCATCCTGGACAATCCACAGATATGTAAACCCAATTTTCCTAGTTTCCAACCGATCCCTCGACTTCTGAGGATGCCTGCCATAGATGCGGGCGAAATGTCGGGAGAGAATGGTTCTGGAACATGGCCAGACAGCCCGGAAAACTCACAGCAACCCAGAAAAGAATTCTTTCTCCCACCCTGTACGTTTCACAGACATATACACTCAAATTCCCTAGTTTCCAACAGACCTCACAAACTCTGAGGATGCCTGCCATAGATGTGGGCGAAACGCCAGGAGAGAATGCTACTGGAACATGGTCACACAGCCGGGAAAACTCACCTATCTTTCTCCTACCCTGGACGTTCCACAGATATATAAACCAAATTTTCCTAGTTTCCAACCGACCCCACAAACTCTGAGGATGCCGGCCATAGATGCGGGCGAAACGTCAGGAGAGAATGCTTCTGGAACATGGCCACACAGCCCTCAAAACTCGCCTATCTTTTTCCCACCCTGGACGTTCCACAGAGATATAAACCCAATTTTCCTAGTTTCCAACCGACTCCACAAACTCTGAGGATGCCGGCCATAGATGTGGGCGAAACGTCAGGAGAGAATGCTTCTAAAACATGGCCATGCAGCCCGGAAAACTCACCTATCTTTCTCCCACATTCCAGATATATAAACCTCACTTGCATAGTTTCCAACCGATCCCTCAACCTCTGAGGATGCCTGCCATAGATGCAGGCGAAACGTCAGGAGAGAATGCTTCTGGAACATACAGCCTAGTAAACTCACAGCAACCCGGCCATGAAAGCCTTCAGCGACACAATGGGGTGTTTGTGCGTGTGACTGTTGCCCATAAGGGATGCTTTACTCGTTTGGCTTGATTCCTCTGATTCCCTTTCCTCAACGAAAAGACCTTCCTAAAACCAGAAGCAGGGACAGGCACCAAATGCCTCTCCTCTTCCTCCTCTTCCTGATCTTTTCCCCCACTCTCTCCTCCTCCCCTCGGAGACAGAAGCGGGTGCAACTCGCTTTTAATTGCCCTTTAATTCGCTCCGTTTTCCAACGTTTACACCGCGAAGGTGTCTTAATAAAAGAAGCCGCAGGCGAACAGCCATGTGGGCTCCTCTCTCTCTCTCTCTCTTTTTTCAATTTAAAGGGCCATGTTTGGGGAGGGAGTGTTGCCTGCCTGGTAGGGATCCTGTCATCCCACCTTCTTGTCTTTCGGCAGAGGCACACGCCTCAGAATGGAGATGCGCGACGATCCCGACGTGGAGGAGGAGAAGAAGAAGGGTCAGAAGAAGGGTCCCTGCCCCTCCAGTCTTGAGCAGGGACTGACACACTCCTTCATTGGGAAAGAAGGGAAGGAAGGCGGGCAGAGGAGGAGGAAGGAAATGAAGCTGATGTTTTGGAAACGCCGCTCAAGACTGAACTCTCTTGGCGTGCCTTCTTGGCTTTCCCTGTGGTTGGTGGTGCGGACGGTGGGGGACTTAGCCCGGGGCAAGTGCCCTCCTCTCCCCATAGGAGTCCTCATGCCCAGGCTACAGCTGAGGCCGCCGTGGAAGTGAGGGGCCTGCCCTTCTTTGAAGGCCTTGGGAGGGGAGAATAATAATAATAATAATAATAATAATAATAATAATAATAATAATAATAATAATAATAATAAATATGGACTGTGATAATAATATAAAATAATAATAATATAACACATAATCATTAATAATAATATAAAATGATAATAAGACATAATAATATAGACGATGATCATAATATCAAATAATAATAAGTTAATAATAAGTAATCTATCTATATAAAAATGCTCTGGTCATAATGAGTTCCTTAAAAACAAAAGAACCAATGGACGAAATCACACCAAATTTGGCAACAAAACGTCTCACAACACAAGGAGTGACCATCACTCAAAAATTTATGATTTTGTCATTTGGGAGTTGTAGTTGCTGGGATTTATAGTTCACCTACAATCAAAGAGCATTCTGAACCCCACCAATGATGTAATTGAACCAGACTTGACACACACAACTCCCATGCCCAGCAGAAAATACTGGAAGAGTTTGGTGGGCATTGACCTTGAGTTTTGGAGTTGTAGTTCACCTACATCCTGTGGACTCAAACAATGATGGATCTGGACCAAACTTGGCATGAATCCTCAATCTGCCAAATGTAAACACTGGTGGAGTTTGGGGAAATAGATCTTGACATTTGGGAGTTGTAGTTTCTGGGATTTATAGTTCACCTAAAATCAAAGAGCATTCTGAACCCCACCAATGATAGAATTGGGCCATTGCATCCTATGTTGTTATTGTTCATTTGTTCAGTCGCTTCCAACTCTTCGTAACATCATGGACCAGCCCAGGCCAGAGCTCCCTGTCAGCCGTCACCACCCCCCGCTCCTTTAAGGTCAAGCCAGTCACTTCAAGGATGCCATCCCATCCATCTTGCCCTTGGTCGGCCCCTCTTCCTTTTGCCTTCCACTTTCCCCAGCATAATTGTCTGCTCTAGGCTTTCCTGTCTCCTCATGATGTGGCCAAAGTACTTCAACTTTGTCTCTAGTATCTTTCCCTCCAGTGAGCAGTCGGGCTTTATTTCCTGGAGGATGGACTGGTTGGATCTTCTCGCAGTCCAAGGCACTCTCAGAACTTTCCTCCAACACCACAGCTCAAAAGCATCGATCTTCCTTCGCTCAGCCTTCCCTAAGGTCCAGCTCTCACATCCCTAGGTTACTACAGGGAATACCATGGCTTTGACTAGGCGGATCTTTGTTGCCAGTCTGATGTCTCTACTCTTTACTATTTTATCGAGATTGGACATTGCTCTCCTCCCAAGAAGTAAGCGTCTTCTGATTTCCTGGCCACAGTCTGCATCTGCAGTAATCTTTGCACCTAGAAATACAAAGTCTGTCACGGCCTCCACATTTTCTCCCTCTATTTTCCAGTTGTCAATCATTTTTGTTGCCATAATCTTGGTTTTTTTGATGTTTAGCTGCAACCCAGCTTTTGCGCTGGGTTGTGTTATTATATTATATTGTCATAGTCTATATTATTATGTGTTATTATTATGTGTTATTATTATTACTTATTATAATCTGTTATTATTGTCTTATTTTTATAGTATTATCATACTCTATATTATATGTGTTGTTATTGTGTTATTATATTATATTGTCATAGTCTATATTATTATGTGTTATTACTATTATTATAGTAATAACACATAATAATATAGACTATGACAATATAATATAATA